CACCGAGTGAGAGTGTTTGTATGTGAGCAAGGCCACACATAGCAGCTAAGCCACCCTCACCGTTCTACAAGTAAAGCTGTCCGTATTAATTCCACATGGAAATTACCTTTCCTACACGGAGCCGAGGAGAAAAATACAATCGGATTAGAGCTGGAATTAGTGCTAACGGGCTGCGTGTCGGACCCATACGTTACGAAGTTAAAACTTTTTTTGAGACGCTTCAGTTCAAACCCTCACTGTAAAATCTAGAGTTGGGCACAAAGAGCACAAAATCTCTTACACTAAAGCAAACGCAGTGTGATTTGCATAATATGCAAACATATGGAGATGATTCCAATGGTGGTTTGGTGAAGTGTCAAAGAGCCTAGAACATTTCCTCTTTAAGGATTTCCTTTGGCACGGAGAGCCCCCAGCAGGCTTCTGTTGGAGGGTTTCGGTCGTAGGCATGGCAGCCTGAGTCCCCTCTGACTTCGTTCTGCTGTAAACCCACAGGAGAGGAAGCTGTAAAGTGTGTTTGTGTTTATGTTGTGACAAAATTACTCCATGGTTTAATTCAGGAATTCCGTCTATGAAATTTGTTGTATAATCGCATCAAGCAAAGTCTCTCTTTTTTATTTTATTTTATTTTTTTTAGTTTAACCGTTACTTCGGTGTAGTGCCTTTACAGTTTGCGGTTTGGTTGGTGCCTTATTGGCAAGCTCATTTAGCTCTGTTCCCTTTTAAAACTATGAGTCAACTGCACAAATTGGTACCAGTACCTCCTGATGCTATAATGCCTCTGGACTTTTACTGAAATGCATTTTGGTGAAATCTTTTTTTCTTTGTTTGTATAGTAGATCACAGGGCTAATAGAGAGGTATGGGAAGCTTCCAAGGGGAAATTCATCCACACTGGATTGAGGTAAACATTTTAAATGCATCCATCAAAGCCAAGGTCTCCAACCAACTGAAAAAATCCATTAAAACATGGATCTATTCTGGCTTTTCTGTGCACATCGGAGTTCGCACTAGCTCTCTATGTAGTCTAGGAAGTTTTTTTTTTCTTTTCCTTTTTTAGACCTGGATAAATTTGGAAATTACAACTACCCATCCATACATGTAGTTTTTTTCTGAGGTTTCCCATGTAGGATTAGTTTATTCCACATCTGATATTCTGTTGTGAAATGTTGTACATGTGCTGAAAATGACCAAGGACATGACTGATTATTTTTTTTTTTTTTTAACATTAAAGAAGATTAAATACTGACAAAGGCCATTCCATCAACGACCTTTACAGAAAACGTGATGGCTGTTGTTGTGAACCTAAAGATTGTGGTAAAGCCTTGTTTTAATTACTTGAATCAGAGTTGACTTATTAGCAAGGGGTTCTAGACACAGTTCAGTTTTTTTCTTTTTCTAATGAGAGGAAAGGTTGTTGGAATTGCCCTCTTAACTATCGTACACAGCTGACTTTAAGCTCGTAGCAGCAGGGAGGGTAGCGGAAAGAACATCTTTACTTCCCATTCGCCCTCAACAGAAATGCATGCACTGTGTTTGGCATCTCATTAAAAATAACTTGAAACCACGGGAAAGGTGCAATGGTAAAGTTTTAGGGGTTTACAAACCACAAGCTATGAAAACTGCAGCATGTCTTAAATGGACAACTGGTCCATTCATAACTATGGGATACTTCTTTTTATATATATATTACAATGTTCTTAATATGGAAAGGCACTGAATTTAATTTTAGTATTCTCCAGGTTTGACGTAACATGGCAAAACAAAAGAATAAGAATGGGGGGAAAAGTTTACATATCCAGATTTAATTTCCTATCCCATCCAAATGTTTTGCCCTTCCTTCTTTCCTCTCCTTCCCTGCCTCCCTCATGCCTTTAAGTATTTTTAGTGTGTCAAACTTTAATTTCTGTCTGTCATACATTAATGGTGAAACTTATCTTTGTATATTTTGAAAAAACTGAAATTTTCTAAAGGTATTCTCAGGAGACTGATCTGAGGTAATCATGCGCTTACCCACATTTTGGGTACTTCAGGTTTTACTTGTTTGCCTTCTTGCATTATACAACTGTGCGTTTAGCCTAAACAAAACACACATTGTAGCTTTGACGTGCCCACATTGAAGACTGACAGCATTTCTGTCGGCGCTACCTTGTGTGGTTACATATTTATCCTCTTCTGGGTGGCCAGGAGCTGGTTTAGCATATGGATTAACCGGGTAATAAGATGCATGTCCACATTGACTTGCCATAGACTGTAACGGCGTGTGAGCAAATGAGCAGTTCCACTCGGAGACACAGCCGAAGGTCACATGGGCGACTAAACCTCAATATCTTCGATTTAATGATCTGGATTGTAATGGCCCACCTTTGACCAATTCCGCAGGAATGGATTTTAAAGTGAAGGATCACTGAGGCAGACGATGTTCTTTTTATGCCTCATTATGTTGAAAATTAAAGATGCTTATTACCTGCAATGCAAGAAATATTCAGCACTTTCTGTATCTGAGAAGTCAGTTTGGTTTTGAAATGTAATAATTAAGATTTTTAACTTGACTTAACAGTCAAAAGGGAATTACTTATTTGAAGATAAATGCACTTTTTTTCTTATCTGTTGAAAGTATAACAATATTGTTGCAGCGTTTTCGCCATCACCAGGCGTACGTGCTAAAGTGAAATATTGGCTGCCCTAAAGTCGTCTTCTTTCATTGCCCTCAATAAAAGAGCATGATGCTGCCACAACCATATTTCAACACGGTGCATTCTGGGTAATTTGCTGTGTTGGCTTTCCTTCACAAAAGCTGTTTTTAACCAAGGCCAAACAGTCGAATGTTGATCTCAATTCGCCACATTTGTCCATGTATCTTTTTAAGAACTGTTGTGTATTATTGAACAATATAGAAAAGAAAAAGCATGACCAGTGTCAAATGCTAAAACAAGAAAAAGAAAACAACTTCCATCTGCTCAGTTTTGCTTGTGAATTCTTAACTCCTAAAGGCTGCCAATTCTGGCTCGTGTCTGTTTTGACACAGAGATATATTTGTCGAGAAGAATTATTTCTTTATCTCTTCGTACCAAGATAGGATTGTGTTCGATTGGAGAAGTCATTGGGGAAAAGGTGTCGGTGCTGCGAAGCTGTCAGGCTACTAAATGTCATCTGATTCAGATACGGCAATGTCGCCTATAACTGATTACTGCTAGGAAAGACACTTTTAGAATAGCAAGATCATCGCTGTGTGAATTTTGGACCATACTGGTGTCTTTTCTTTGTATTTTGTGAATTTACGAGATGTCTTTGGCATGAAAAGCCAAGCATCCGAACTGACAGACTGTGTGCTGGATCTATATTAACACCCTGTACGGGTTTCCTGATTTGTATTTTCCTGTCTGGAAAATAAAAATGAAATAATTTATACCCTGTCCGTGGCCATCCATCAATCTACCCATCTCTGCATCCGTCTTTTCTTGAATTAATGATCGGGTGTTTAAGAATGCAAAATGTATCTTCTATCTTCTGTTAGAACATTGCGTTACTTCTGTCCCTTGTTTTGCAGCCCCGTTTAGCACTGAATGCAAATGTCCCAGCAGGCTTGTTGTGAGGCAGAGGTTAAACAGCTAAAAGCTGGGGTCAGACCTTTTACATCCGAGTTGAGTGAGCCATTTAAATGCATTGCCTTCTTGGACACAGAAACCAGGGACGTACAAGATGAGGAGAGTCCCCGACTACATTTTGTTTAATAAATGACTCAACGTCTGCGTGAATATTTACAGACTGCTGCTATTTGGTTTGCCTTTTTTTTTTTTCATTCATGCACATGAAAGCATTTTACTACCATTTTCAAGATTACCATGAGAAAAATAACACGCGTGCAATGCAATTATACATACTCCCATGAAGCATATTCCTACTGCCTGTTGAATTGCCAATGTGCTCATCTGAGAGTGCATTGTAGCCCAGAAAAGGAACAGATGTGACATAATTGAATTTGCCTTTGCCAGATCAATTTATGAGATCCATCGCAAAGACGAAGAATCGGTTCTGTTCACTGTAAAAAAAAAAAATAATAAAAATACATAATTGAACACAAAATAAAAATTTAATTAAATGATTGTATATTAAGACCAAAGCCATTGTTTAAAGATGAAAGAGAAAAACGAAATATTTGCTCTCTGTGCCTGAATGTTGAGCTTGCATTCATGCACCATTTGTGCAGAGTTAGATATGAAGATGTGCATGTTAATGACATTGGGTAATTACTCCCTTTTGCAGCTGAGATTGTGTGAACACGTGTTTTATTGTGAAGAAGAACAGCAAATTTGAACTGACAAAAGCTATTATATAAGCATTTTTTGGAAACCTTCCGATATGACAGCTTACAGCTGCCTGAAGACGTTTGGTCTTGTGTTTTCTGTAGCATGGATTGTGGCATCGAGCTTATTATTTTAAAGGTGCCACTTGTCAGTTAAAGCCAGATTTTGTGAAGCACGCAACAAATGTGTAACAGACAGATTCTTCCGTCTGAGTTGAGGAGTCCTGTGGCTCTTTCTCCTATTGCCCCCCCCCAAAGTAAAACAGCCAAAGAGCAGATTAAGGGAATACCAAGTGTGGGGAATTCCTTCCCAGATACCTAGCATGTGCGGAGTGTTGACCATTTTAAAGTCACACCATCAACTTCCTCGGTTCATCCGCGTCGTTTCGTTAAAGGATTAGTTTGCTAATCCTTTTAGCTCTAAGCTGGTGACATGAAAATCTACCATTGCTTTTCATGGACAGAAGAGCGCTGCGCCTCTCACTGGGACTGAACTCCTCCCATGTCATCCCCGGCTTGGCGCATGCATCAGTGGCCATGTGGACTTTGCAGTGTCCTGGCTGTCTGCAGCTTTCGGGGAACTGCTTTCTCATAGGACTCACCCTGTAACTCCCTCTAGACTGGACTGTCCGACTAGATTCTGCTTCAGATGGTGCAGATATACGGGGCTGAAACAGACTGCTTGTTTCTCTTCGCAGAGTTTGCAGAGACGTTGGCTGGAATGAAGGCTCGGATCGAAAATAGAGGAGCAGCTCTGAAGTGAAGGCAGTTGGCAGCCAAGGTGAGAAGTGTTTTCATTGTCCTGGATGATTATTAAGGCTGAAGAAGTCGCCGTTAAGCAAATTATTCTCCCCTTTTCTGCAGATGCATTAAAGTGAACACAAATCATTGTAATGTGGGAGTTGCAGTGATAGTTTACCAAAAGGTGACTGGCGCACGGGTGGGGCTGCCACTTTTTTTTTTTTTTTTTTTTTTTTTTTTTTTTTGGGGGGTGGGTTTTTTATTAAAAACACACCAAAAAAAGTTGGACACCACAAACGTG